CCTTCAGCCCAGGCCCCACCCTCAGAGAACTCTTGGGGTAGTTACACAGGTAGCATTTATGCTGTGCCTAAATGCCATGGGCCAGCCGCACCGCTTGTTTTAAGCTTGAGGATTTCTTCTGTTTTCCTGTGGTTTTTTTCCTGTCTTTAAATCGATCATGCCCCAGCTTTACACTGGGGATATTATTAGGGACTATTATTAGTTTCCTATTGCTGCAAAATCTCTTATTGTAATAAATTCGTATTAATACAAACTTAGTGGTTTAGAACAATACAAATTTATTTTACAGTTCTGGAGGTCAGAAATCAGAAATGGGTTTCATGGGGCTAAATAAAGGCTTTGGAGACTAGGGGACAAGCCATTTCCTTGTCCTTTCTAGCTTCTATTGGCCACCTACAGTCCCTGGCTGGTGGGCCCTTCCTCTATCTTGAAAGCCAGTGGAGTAGCATCTTCCAATCTCTGACACTCCTGCCTCCCTCTGTGATTTATAAGGAACTTTGTGATTACATTGGGCCCACCCTGATAAGTCTTCCCGTCTCAAGAGCCTTAATCACATTGGCAAAATCTTATTTGCCATGTAAGGTAACATATTCACTGGTTCTGGGAATTAGGGTGTGGACATTTTGGGCAGGGGGAGCATTCTGCCCCACCTTCCAGCTCTCAGGATTGCCTTCCTCTACCCCATCTCCCACCCTCCCTACCCGCGCTCCTTTATGTACAGGGTCTGTTCCTGCTGTCCCACCCCCACCCCAACACCTATGATGTGTTTTAAGAGTTCCTCCCCCAGCCTCAGTCTTGGCGGTGGCCTCATGGTTCTAAGATCTATCAAGAGCTTCTTTTCCTTTCTTTTCATTGCTTCCTGCTGCCTTCTCCTCCCCCATCCACCCCCCCTACACACACTAGCCCAGCCTCCCAGTGGATCTCTAAAGGAGAAAGGCAAAGAGTTATTGCTTTTTAATTACAAGTGCTATGGTAGCATCTATAAGGAAGAACATTTTAAGCTTAATTGAGACCAAATGTGAAGTTAAATTAAATGAATAACTAATTAATGTAATGCTCCTGCATTAGACCCGTGTGAGTGCTGAGGCCCAGAGAAGAGGCAGGTACCAGGCCTCTGATGAACAGGCAGTGCCCAGAGCTGCCCAGGTGGGCCTGGGCCCTGGGAGATGGGTGTAAAAGGGCAGACTTCAGGGCCAGGCCTCCCCCTCCCCCCACCTACAGCCCGAGTCGTCATGTCCAAGGCCGGGCTCTGAGCTCCCACATGCCCTTTGCGCGTGTCTGGCGCCACACTTACTTGCTGGGAGGAATGATGCCTCGTGTTCATTTTTCAGTCCCTGATGCCGAACACAGTAGGGGCTGATGAGTACTCATGTTAACTTCCTCCCTTTTCCACTTCCCCTTGCTACTTTATCAAACTAACCATCCAAGTCCTCTGACTTCTTCCTCGTAAGGAAGAATGATTCTTTCCATTGCTGCTGGGATTGCCCTCCTGCCAGCCCTGTCCTTTCACGGCTGGACCAATGAACAGCGAAGCTCTCACCCTGGGCCCTGTATTGTCATATTCCTATCTGATCCCCTAACTAGACAAATTCCTCCAGGGCAGGGAGTGTGTTTAGTATGTACTGATCTCCATTTACACCAACCCTATGACGTAGGTAATGTTACCATTTTCTAGATGAGGAAGCAGGCTCAAAGCTAGTAGGTGGAGAAGCTGGGGAAGAGAAAACCGTGAGAGAGGCTTCCTTCCTCCCTTGACCTGACTGCAGCAGAAAGCAAGCTGCAAGTCTTTTTCCAAGAACCCTGGCTCCTAGCCCCTGTTCTGGAAGCAGGACAGGGCCAAGTGGGCTTTATCATGGGGTTGCGTCGCCATCTAGTGGCTCAGGTAAGGAACAAAGTTTGTCCCTAAGCTGGTCCCTCCTAAGGGAAGATGGCAGATAAATCTTTTTGGTCTTGAGAGCAGCTTTCACGAATGCTGAACATAATGCCATATATTATAGCTCCTGCTCCTGTGGGATCTGAGGACTTGGAGGTCCCTGACTGACTCCTGCTTTGAGAGCTGAAGTGACTATCGGGCAGTACAGCCCTCTCTATTTGTTACCGTAGGAGTGTGTGTGACCTATCTCAGTGTCTTGGCATGTGTGCCCAGCTAACAAGCCACCTGCACAGTGCCCTGGGAAGTGCGATGGTTGTACCTTGTGCTCCAAGCTCCGGTTTGTTCCAAGTGTCATCAGTGTCACAAGGAGCCCCTCCAGGAATGCCTCTTATCACCAGCCCCAGTATACTGGACCTTGTGGTCCCGGGATACCACCTGAACAACCCATGCGAGCCCTGCTGGGTGGCTGAGCAGGCCCTACCAAGGACAAGCACAGGCACGTCTGGTAAAAGGCAATCTGTATTGGTGCCGATGGGCAGCTTTAGGGTCAGATGGAGATGCCAAGAGTCAGCCGGGCAGGATTTGGGGTGGAAGGAGGACGTGCGCCAGGAACACTGGGTAGAAAAGGGGGCTGCATGTGGCGCTGAGCAACCGCACAGGCAGAAGATGCTTGAATGAACCAGGCAGTGCGCTCATTTCCTTCTAGTCTTGTCACCCTGATGCCAAGGCGTAAGTCCTTTTTGCGTCCATTGTCTACTTCATTCTTAGAGTGGAGCTGGCATACAGCCGGCACTCAGTAACCACTGGCATTTCATTCTCAAAGTACTTAATACACACACTGCTATTTTTAGCCATGCCCAGCCCCTCTTTCTATCCCCCCTACAGCACTGGCTCTGATGTCCTCTTCCACTGAGGACATCGGGGACTGGGACCAGAGTGAGTCAAGGGCGGCACGGGCCCAAGAGTGAATGCCCCTTAAGTTCTGTGCCAAGGCAGCTCCCTTGCTCATCCTAGTCCTGGCCCAGGAAGAAGAGCGATGATGCTGGAGTGGAGCGGGGGATGGAGTTATCAACAGGATCGAACGGAGGGTAGAAGAGGGTCCACCTTGGGGAAATACACAGAGAAGGAGAAGACTAGTTCATGCACAAAGGGACAAAGACAGGCTGGGCACTTCTGAAATGGAGCGAGGTGCCTACCTGTAGGTACAGGCTGATTACAGAGATTAAAACTTAACATGAGAAGGAGAGGATGTTTTCCAGGCCTTGGCCCTATTAGAGCCTTCTGTCTTGGAATCTGAACAAGCGAGAGTCTGAGCATAACTTCCCTTATCGATATAGAGACAGCACTCAGCTCTGATCCCCATCCCCTCTACTTGCAGCTTCCAGAGCTCGGGCTCTTGAATCTTCCATTTCCTCCTGCTTGGCAGTCCCCTTCCCATGGACAATCTCCTATACCCTTAGTCCTGTGGCTGGGCTGGGCTGGGCTTTGCCTCCCCCATCTGTGGAAGTTTCCATTGTCTTGCCCATGGGGAGCATGTTGGGGACCCAGCTGGGACCCTCCATGCTTCTCTTCCAGTTGGACCCTCATATTTCTTTATACCTGCAATGAAGAGGAGAGAGGTAACGGAAGAGAAAGTGAGACACACTTAATAAGCTCCTGCCCAGTGGGGAGAGGAAAGGCAGCTTCCTAGGGTCCCTTAATAATTGCCTTTCATTTCTGCTCTCTATAATGAGGGCTCCCTTTCCCCTCTTGGGCAGGGTATGGCCAGCCAGAATGATATTTACAACCTTACAAAGGTTATGCCGCATTCGACATCTTTACAAAGCAGCATCGCATACCCCATCTTGTCTCAGCCTCAGATCAACCCTGCCGGGTATTTAGGGACGAGCACTCCCATTCATACAGAGAATCTGGGTAGTAGGCCCAAGATCCTATAGGGAAGTGAGCAGAGAAGGCCAGACTGTTCAGGGATTTCAGATTCCAAGCCCAGCGCTCTGTCTGCTCTAACAAATCACTGACGCCCCCAACACAGGCCTTCCACGGAGAAGGACCAGCTTGGAGCAGTGGCGGTACAGAGAAAAGCAAACCACCCCACAGACCCAGGTCAGTGTCAGGCTGCGCTGGGACGAGCCGAGGCCTTGGGCATATTCCCTGAGTTCCATTCTCTCACCTCTAATTGAGAGGTTGCCGAGAAGTAAGCTAATACGTCTAAAACTAGACAAAATTCCAGGCATAGAGTAGTTGCTCATTACATATTTCTTCTTTTCCCTTCTGCTGCTTGTCTTCCCCTTCCTGCCTCCCCTCAGGCCTGGCCCCAGGGAGCCCCAGTGGAAGGCTCTGCATCTGCCCGTCCCCTGCTCGCCTCCTCCAGGGCAGGGCAGGACACGGGTGGGAATGCTTCCTGCTTCCAGGGCTTCTTCCTGCTCTCCATTTTCTCCCGGGCTGATGTCCTCCTTAAGGGCAAGTGCTTCCCCCATAAACAGCTGGTCACCATGACCCCGGGGGATCCTCCTCACATCTACTATCCAGCCCAGGTGCACGGCTCCCGCCAGCTCCTCGTTGGCAAGAGGCTCCTGCTCAGCATGGCCAAGGGAGAAGGTCACCTGGCCACTAGACCACCAGCACCAGCAGGTGGCCTCAGCCTCTGGCCAGCCCCTGCTTCCAGCCACAACCTATTTGTGCCACCTCCACCCCCACCACCACCAGACAACAGGCAGAGAGCGCACCAGACCAGCCACCGACACCTGATTTGAATTTTGCTTCAGAGGCTTTGATTGGTAGTTGCTTGTTTCTGCATACCCCAGGCAGAAGGGCCAGATGGCCTTGGGTTCTGAACTTCAGGAAGCACTTGGTGCTCAGCCTGAGTTCGGAGGAAAAACAATTTCCCCATCTCTGCCTCCTCTGTCCTAGAGGGTATGTCCCCTAACACTCTCCTCAGGGGAAGAGGCTGCCACCCTCTGCGGCATCTCAGACCCCTTGGGAAAGACTTCCCAAGCACCATGCTTTGCTTGGGTCGAGAGTCTTTCGAACCGGCTCCCAGGAAAACAGAGAAAGTTGGAAAATATCACACAGGAGGAGAGAGGATTTGCACGCAGCCCCCGTTCTGACGGCACATTAGTCACAGACCTGAAGCAAATACTCACAAGAGTCATGGGACTTGAGGAAAATACTATCGCGAGTGGGTTAGGACCAGATTAGAGCTATGGAGACACATGGGGACAACAGAGACAGGTTAGCGGGGCTGGGGCACGGCGGGGGTTCACACGGCACATCCAGGGGCTGGCTCAGCGCTCCCCAGTTCTGGGCTGGACAAGCCTCAGACTGGGTCTGGAGAGACTGAGCACTGATTCCCACAGGAAGTGAGGTCGGCAGAGGGGCAGCCTCAGCTCGCTGGAGGACTCACCCTCTGTCTCTGGTCAGGGATGACTTCCAGGCCAGGATCTCTTTGTACACCAGCCGGCAGAGTAACTGTGGGGAGCCCAGGGCCCAGAGGGAAGGGAGGGCACCATTAGCACTGAGCACTTGGCTCCCAGTGTCAGGGGACCGGCGGACTGTCATTTGGCAGGGGTCACCCAGGGGCGGTGAAGCGCAGCTGTTCTCATTGTCCCAGAACCCCCAGTGGCCAATGCTTTGGACCTCCAGCCTGGGGGCACAGAGCATCCCCTGGTACCCATCTGTGTACCCCCAGAACTCTCACCAAGCAGGCCAGGACATCGGCAGAGATGAGCATGTAGAAGACATTGTTCCAGCCCGTGGGGGAGATGAGCCCGGCCAGCAGAGGCCCCAGAGCCGCGCCTGCGCAGAGCACAGCGTCGTGAGGCGGGGATCCCACACCTCTCCTGCCCACCTGGGGGCGGCGGAGTGTAGCAGGGGGTCTGCCCTCGACAAGGCTCAGCTCTGGGGGCCAAAAGCTAGTCACACACCTATGGAACCGGTGCCGTCGATGATGGCCGTGACGGTGGACAGGGCCTTGGCGTTGCCCTGCAGGCTCTTGTGAGTACCCTGGGGAGACACAGCGGAGAGTGGGGCCCAGCTGGGCGGCAGCACCAAGCCAGGGAACCAGAGCGGGAACGGGGCCAACTCGGGGAAGGTGGGGCCCGGGGCATGTGCTTGAGAGGAAAGAGGGGTCCGTGGTGGGTTCTGAGGAACTCTGAGGGTCTCGCCTCTGCTGAACCAGAGAGAGGGAAATGGATGCAAAGACAGTGGCCTTGACCCAGCCCTCGGCCCAGCCTACCAGGTCAGCGGAGACGGCGGTGGTGATGAGCGCGTAAGGGCCGTTGACCAGCGCCCCGCAGACGATCAGCATCACTGGGCGGCAGCAGAGACAGGCCCGTTAGAGACGAGGGGCCGCCACGCCTCAGCCCCAAGGCAGGAGCACCCCGGGCCCCCCTCCTCCCGAAGTCCCTCCACCCATCCCCCCTCAGGGGGCCCCCAAGGCGGTGCCTTTCCGGGGGACTGGCAGGACTTGCGACCTCCTCCTCACCTATGGAGCTGGTGATCCCATTCTGGCCAATGTAGTTGTACAGGAACATCTGAGAGAGCAGCAGGAGAGGCACGGTCACCAGCCTCGCCCCTGCCAGGCTGGCGCCCCGAAGTCGGAACAACCCGCCCCTGCCCTGGAGCCCCAGAGGTCACCCATTCCTTTTCCCTCGCACAGCCAGACTTCTCTGGTCTTAATCCAGGGATAGAAGGTCTAAAACGTGGAAATCCATTGTTTCCCTCTTCCCAAACAGTCTTCTCTTATATCTACCCTCAATCTCCTCTCCTTTCTTTGGTCGAGAAGTTTAGCAGCTGGTCTCCATCAAGGTCAGCCAGTCACTAATCCCTTTCCCAAACCCTCAGTCCGGATGTCTTTCCCAGGTGCCTGCTCCTCTGCTGACCCTGGCTTCTCCTCCCCCCACATGTGCACAGAGACGGCATGTGTGTAAACGCACGCATGTGCACACAGGGCCGAGGCCGCACAGGTCCCTGCTCACGTGCACGTGCACTTTGCCCTTGAGTTATACGCACCATGGGGGCAGCCAAGATCAGCATGATGCAGCAAGTGGTGGCCCTGCCGTTGGTGTGGTCAGAGATGAGCCCTGCCACGATGCCGCCTGGAACACATACCCCCTCACACACTGCCACCCACAGAGGACCCCGCCATCCCGTCACCTGCTACCCAGCTCTGCCCCGTCACCCTGCCCAGCGCTGGCCTGGGCCTGGCATCAAGAACCAGCAGAGACAGCAGAGAGGGGAGGCCCAGCTGAGCGGCAGCACCGAGCAAACGAACCAGAACGGGAGCGGGGCTGACTCCGGGAAGGTGGTGCCTCCTCCGCAGCCCTCCCCTGCACCTGTCACTACAGGAAGACCAAACACAAGGGCCATCTTTCTTAGGCCAACCCAGCCAGGCAGAAGCAGAATTGAGAATAAACCCAGGAGCCCTTTTTTTTTTTCCTAGTGCCACCTGCCCAGGACACAGAACAATGGGCCTGTCCCTTCTTTCTGCTTCCCACAAGAGTAGAGGGGAAGGCAGCCTACTGGCAAAGCAGGGCAGGGCCTCACCTATGATGCCACCAACATCAAAGAGCGTAGATAGGTCCCCAGCCTCCTTGGCATTAAAGTGAGCTGCGGAACACACAGAGATGTGGTCAGACCGGGGAGCTCAGGGCAGACATCCTGGAGTGCCACGACCAGCAGAATCCCTGCAGGGCACTGACCCCGGCCCAGAGCCTCCTTTTCTGAATGAAGGGGCTGAGGACTCATGGAGCAGGGACCGGGCAGGGTCCCAGAGTGAATGTGCAGCAGCTTGGGCCAGATGCCCTTCTGGCCCCCCGCAGGATGACCTTGACCTCTTAGAGCAGCCCTTCCTCTGCAAGCCCTGGGCCCTGGCCCTGAGAACCCTGTGCCGTCACCATCTTTCCCCTGGAGCACAACAGCCCTCCATGATCCCCCAGCCAAGCCCTTTCCCTACTCCAGCCCCGCCAGCCGCAGGCTGACTAGGAGCTGCTCACATCTACCTGTGCTCATAAACAGAGCCAGGAAGGAAACTTGCAGGAAAATGGGGACCCCCCGTCATAGGCCTTGGCTATGGTTTAGAAAAAGGAATATCTGGAAGCTTGAATTGTAGCCCCACCCTCAAGATTGCTTCATACTCAGCATCAAGGCCACAGAACAAAGAGTCAAATGTCCACCGACCTAGCCTCTCCACTGTCACTGAGAGAGGCCCCCAGGTACAGCTGCAGGCGAGCTGCAGCTTGAGACCTAGCTGTGACTAATTCCTGCAGTATGCCCTGCAGAGCAAGTACCGTGTGCCGAAAGGTGGTGTTGTCCCCCTCAGGGCTGGGGGCCGGGCGGCAGCTGGGTGAGAGGTCCTGGCCCTGCTGGAGCTCAGAGGCTCCTGGGGGCAGGGGAGGGCGGGGCAGGCTGCTCCCTGGCAGAGCTTTGCGTTCCTGATTCAGCTAAGCTCCAGCTAAGTTCCAAAGGAGGAAGGTGGCCGGAGTCGGGGTCTAGGGGGGCCGTGTACAGGGTAATCCTGACTATATACTAGCATCACCTGTCACCATGACACGATGAGCTTCCTCTCCTACCAGAGATGGCCTTGGCCTCCTCAAGACCCCTTCCCCGCCCCTCCCCGTGCACTCACCCACGTTGAAGATGTAGAGCGGTAGCCAGTAGAGGAAGGTGTAACTGACCAGCTTGGCAAAGAGCAGACACAAAGAGAACTCGACCACGCCCTGGGGAGCGGGACAGAGGGTACCATGGGAAGGGGTCCAAGAGATCCTTGGTCCTGTGGCAGCCCCAAGGGCTGGCGCAGCACCACCCAGTGCTTTCCCTGGCCTGCCACAGCCAGCAGCCTCAGATATACACCCAACCTCAACGAAAGCCGTGTGGCTGCTGCTCAGCGTTGTTTCGAGGCAAGTCTCCCCGAGCAAGCCACCCACCTCACACATCTCCTGTAAAGAAATTCTGGAAACCGTAGATCCCCCCAAGCACCCCATCTCCTGATATCCAACAGAAAAGTCTGGAAAGCCCCCCTCTCCCCTCCTTTCCACACACTTCTCACCGGGATCCGGAGTGCCCCGAGGAAGCTGATGGCAGCAGGCTCCTCACATGGCTCCTTGGAGCATCTAGCTGCAGGCTCAAGGCCACTCTCCTTGTTAGAGTAGGGGCCATTCCCAGGGTCCTCAGGGTTGTCCTGGTCCTCGTCCGGCCCGCCCTGAGCAGAGGAGAGGAGACCTTGCTGGGCATGTCCACGTACCCCTCCCACCAGCTGGAAGGGCAGCCCAGGGAGAGACACGGGGCTCCCAGGCTGGAGGAGGCGCACGTCTCTCTCCGGGGCTGGACTAACCTGCCAGGCCCATCAGATCGTGCAGGACCAACCCAAGGCCTAACATCAGGTCTGTGAAATCACTGTGGGGCCAGGCCTCCCTCCAGCAACTCCCCAGTCCTGTCTGGGTCCAGCCCTCTGGAGTGGGAGGACAGGGATGGGGCCGGGAGGGCTCACACTCACATGGTGCTGAGGAGGGGTGCAGTCCACGTCTTCCGGGTCTGGAAAAAGAAAACTTCTAAGACGCTTCCCAACAGGCCAGGCCCTCACCCTCGCACTGGTCTGAACTGTCCTGGGAGCCAGCCCCACCTCCTACCCCTAAGGTGGCCAGGGTATGTCCCTGCAGGAGGGAGCGGGAATAGGGCTCAGGAGACCAGGCGTCTGGGCCTGGCTCTCCTAATAGCCAGTGGTGTCACTGGTGTCTCTGGGACTTCAGTGCTCTTAGCTACAGAGTGGCTATAATGCCTGGCCTGGCTGACAAGGCTGTCAGGGAATGGGATGGTGACACCTGTCTGCACCAAATCAAGAGATGGTTACTATAGGAATGTCCCCGAACTCTGCCTTTCCCTTTCACACCTCTCAGATTCAACCACTGCTTGCCAAGCGCCCTTCATGGGCCAGGCGTTTAAACTACAGTGTCTCACTTAACCTGCAGAAATCTTTTTTTTTTTTTTTTTTTGCCCGGGCTAGAGTGAGTGTCGTGGCGTCAGCCTAGCTCACAGCAACCTCAAACTCCTGGGCTCAAGCAATCCTCCTGCCTCAGCCTCCTGAGTAGCTGGGACTACAGGCATGCGCCACCATGCCCGGGTAATTTTTTTTTTCTATATATTTTTAGTTGTCCAATTAATTTCTTTCTATTTTTGGTAGAGACTGGGTCTCGCTCTTGCTCAGGCTGGTCTCGAACTCCTGAGCTCAAACAATCCGCCCGCCTCGGCCTCCCAGAGAGCTAGGATTACAGGCGTGAGCCACCGCACCCGGCCTGCAGAAATCTTATGAAGCACATACGACTACTGTTATTTTACAAACAAGAAAACTGAGGCTCTGAGAGGTTGTTTGTCCAAAGTCACACAGCTGGGCCTTCCACTCTCTGGCCAGAAAGCTTTCCAGTGGATCCAGCTGCCTCCTCCCAAAAACAGAGCACTTGGAGGCTCACTCACATTCGATGAGGAAGAGGAAGGTGAGGACGCCTACAGCAGCGGTAACGATGCCAGGCACGATGAACGACAGGCCCCAGTGCCCGTTCACCCAGACACCGGCGATCAGGGAGCCCAGGATGTTGCCCACGGACGTGTGGGAGTTCCACACGCCCATGATGAGGCCTCGCCTGCGGGGAGGGCGGGCAGGAGAGCAGGAAAAGTAAAAAGTGAGGCGCACTGTTCGCAGCAGCTGCCCCAGCCTAGCTAGAAAGGCGGCTGCCCGCGGCTCCCACGAGGCCCTGAAGATGAGGCACACAGCCCCAGGACCACAGTCAGCAAGGAGGGGAGGCCTCGGTGAGTGGGGCCCGCGCCCCATGCCCAGCTCCCTGAGCCAGCACTGAGGGCGGGAGCCATGGCCACGCAGAGGGGGTGGGCCCTGTGGTCTCTCTCTAAAGCAGTGTCCTCACTAGGGGGTGATTCTGCCCCAGGGGGGACATCTGGTAATGGCTGGAGACGGTCACAACTCAGGATGTGCTCCTGGCAACTAGTGGGCAGATGCCAGGGATGCTACTAGACCCCCTGCGATGCCTAGGGCAGCCCCAAACCAGGGTCTGACAGCCAGGAGGGCAACGGTGCCGAGGGTGCGAACCCTGCTCTAAAGCAACTTATTTCGCACACAAACCAGGTCAAGAAAAAAAGTGTTGTAGGCTTTTGTCTTCATTCAAAATGGAAATTCATCTATTAGGAGAAAAAAGTATAACTAAAGCTGCCTGTTCTATGGGCCAAAGCCTCGTCAGTGGGAAAGTCAGCACTGCTCTTGAGCTACCGGAATGCTGCTTGGATCTCAGCGTGTGAGCATCAGCGACACAGAGGCAGTGTCCTCTTTCCCCTGAAATTACATTAGAGGCCACGAGTGACCGCCTCGGGACCCCAGCCCTCTGGATCCTTCCCACTCCTCCCTGGCACAAACTCACTTTCCCTTGCCGAACCAGTTGCCGACACAGGTCACCACGGAGGGCCAGCCTGTGGTCTGGAAGAGTCCGTTGCAGATCTGCAGGGAGCAGGACAGTGGGAACGGGCCTGGGTCGCACTGCTGGCTCCGTGCTCCCACCGCTCTGGGTCGAGGGGCTTCAACAGCAAAGCCGAGGGGCCCCCACGCCCCGCACTGCCAGCCCTGCCCATCCCCCCCGCACACGTCCACACACCCCAACGTCATCAGCTGGCTTTTCCTCCAGCTCAAGACTGTTCAGGCAAAGCCCAGCCCCAAGTGCAGGGGAAGTGACGAGTGAACGAAGGCACATGGGACTGGGAAGCAGGCCCCAGCGCAGTGTGATAGAGGAGCGCCGGACAGGGGACAGGAGTCCAGCCCCAACCCGCTATGGCCTGGGAGTGCCGGGAAGGTCGAGGGGTCCCCAGGGTCCTTTCCGAGATGAGAACAGAGGCCTGAGTGTGAGACGGAGACTCATACCTGGATGAGCACAAAGTACCAGAGCATATGGACGTTCCAGAAATATCCCAAGCCAAAGAGCGAGGTGAAGAGGCCACTGAGCAGCATTCCTGCTGAGAGGTAGTAGCGGAGGGGGAGCCGCTCCCCAAATATCCCGCTGGGCAGGAGAGTTGGATTTGTGGTCAGCCCCATCCCTGTCCACTCCCTGACGCTCTACCACCCTGCTCCTCCCGCCATGCTGTGACCTCCCTGCTGCCACATGTCAGAGTGGCCTCAGTGCCCCACGGGCCAGACTCCTGCTTGCCCTGGCACTGCTGGCCATGCTCCGCAATGTCGGTGTCGCCCGTCTTCCTCCCCCTTGGCCGGCATTCCCTGCCACCCCGTGCCGCTCAGAGCAGTCTCTTCTGTCACTTTTATGGGTCCAGCTACCACCCATATGCTGAATGGTCCCAACCACAGATCTACCACGGTCTCCAGACCTGACCTGTCTCTCAGAGTTTCAGGATCACATCCAGATGCCTTCTGGACACCTTTCCTCAAAGCCCCCAAAGCATTTGAAACTCAACACTCGACGTTGAACTCCTCTTCCTCCTTCTGCCACCCAGCTCTGCACCCCTCATCTGAGGGCAAAGCACCCCGTGGCCACCCAGGCCAGGCCAGGCGGCTCCCTCAGTCTCTCGTCTGTCCTTCCAGCCCCCACAGTCAGTCTCCGAGGCCCCCCATGCTACCTCCTAACTAGTCCTCCATTACCGCTGCCGTAACGCGAGCTCTCCCCACACCTGCCCTGCAGCGTGGCCGTCCTTCCCCCCTCTCCAGTCCTCTCAGCAGCGCTCTCAGAGCCATCCGTCTGAAACGTCAGTCCTATCATGACTCCCCGAGGAACTCCCTTCCCCACATGGCTCCCGGGCCCTCTGCAAATGACCTTCAGCCCTGCTAATACCTTCCTCAAATTGTACATAAGCCTGTTAGCAGTTCCTGCCCTAGTTCCCCGCTTTCTCATACTGGCCCTTCTGCCTGGGCCGCCTTCTCCACTGCGAAACCCACCTAATCTTCCCCAGTTCACGTATCGTCTCATCCAAGAAGCCTTCCCTAACCCCTCTGCTCGCCCTGGCTTGGACCAAAGGACAACGTCTGAGCTCCCAGAGCACCTGATGGCCACCTCTGTCACAGAGTTTTGTCACACGGTTTTGTCATTAGCTGCTGATGTATTGGTCGCCCCCACCAGCCTGTGAGCTCTCTGGGGGCAGTACCCTGCCTTAGTCATCTCGGATTCCTGGCAACGAACACTGTGCTTCTGTGTGAAGCCCAGCCTTGCTGCCCAGTTTCGCCACAGCCCAGGATGGGGATTTTCCCGGCCATCTATGCGTCCGGGGCCATTCTTCAAGGATCCCGGTCCCTACCTGCCAACACTGCTATCTGAGTGAATAAATTCAAAAGGAGCTTCCAGGAAAACCTTCCGGGAAAAAGAGTTACTAACAGCGGGGCTCTAGCAGGTGGAGGGGCGGCCTTGGCGACCGCAGTAAGGGAGGGGAGGGCTGTGGGCTAACTGCGTGCGCAGAGATCTCTGTCTCACTCGCACCTAGAGGAGCCATCGCTCCTCGGCGGAGCTCGCTTCCAGCCGGCTGCCCCAGGTTCGTCAAGCGAGGCAGCAGCTCTGAGCTGTCCTATCTGCACGGTCGCAGGCTGGGCCTCTCATTACCTGATGAACATGCCAATGGCATAGGCCACCAGGAAGGCGTTGTCCACGGCCGCCAGTAACTCCGTGTAGTTGTCCTTGTCTGAAAGCAGACAGGAGAGACAGAAAGCTGGCAAGAAGTGCTCTCTGGCTCAGGATAACCCCTTCTTGAGGAGGAGGGAATGGGGATTTGGGAAGGGAAACCTGCCCTGTTCTTACCAAATGGGGCCCAGCTGCACCACGTGGTGTCGTTGAGACTGTGGGTGTCATTGATAGTTTCGATCAGCTCTGAGCAGTTCTGATGCAGCCGGCTCTGGAGAGGCAATGGGACACACAGGTCAGGGGTCGTGTCATCGTCCCAGAGCCCACTTGCCCCAGAGGGGAGCAGGCAACCGCCCACCCCAACCACACCAGCGCTACTGCCTCCCTCCAGATTCCACACTGCCCCCTGCTGGCACCTCCTCCTGCAAGGGCTGACTACAGGGGAAAGTGGCCACATCGGACCCACGAGGGTCCCTGCTCTCCTAGTCCGTCCACACCCACCAACACAGCCGTCTTGGTGAATAGACCCAAAAGGAGATCCTAGGAAACATTCCTGGGAAAGGGCCGCTCAAAGTGGGAGCCTGTTAGGGTGAAGGAGCAGTCTGGGCGACCGTGGTAAGGGAATGAGGATGGTGACGGACTGAGGTCTGGACCCTTCTATCGAAGGCCCGGCATCTGCTACATTCCTCCTCGCCCGCTCGCCCAGCCTCACCTTGACCACACTGAGGGGCTTCCTGGACATGTGGTAACAGGTATAGATGAGGAAGGTCAGCAGCAGGATGAAGCCTCGGAACCTGCAGGCGGAGATGGGCGTCAGCGCTAGCCGCAGGTCTGCCGGCCGCAAGCTGGGGGCCAGGACCCCACCAGGCCCGTCAGGCAGCCCAGGGCCTCAGCACCACCAAGCTTTTCCCTTCAGGCTCCCCTTCCAGATGCAAGTTCCTCCGGTGGAGGCCAAGAGGAGGCCAGCAACAAATGCCCAGAGGCCAGGGTGCTCAGGGTGACCTGCCTCCTTGGTCCTAGCACCTGGGGCCTTTCACGGAGCCCTCTCAGCACTCAGCTGCCCCTCCTGCCCTGCCCACCTGCCAGCACGTTGACTTTTCTTTGGCCTCGCTGAGGTGAGGGTGCCTCTGTGTGTGGGGGGCGGGGGGGCAGAGGTGGGGGTGGGGAGTTGGAGTTGTTTTTAAAGTGTCAGAAATGATGGGGGTGGGAGGGAGGCGAAGGAGGAGAAAGGTCTGTCTTTAAAGTGAGGTCAACGCTCCTCTTCAGCTTAGAGCACGGCAGACACAGGGCCTGTCTCAGCCCAGGCCATAGCTGGAAGGAGTCAGCGGCGGGACGGCTGGTGACAGAGCCCAAGTCCCACTGCGTCCGTTCCACTGGACAGAAAGCCCATTCTTTCCATCTGTGGCTCACATGCCACGTGTGCTCTCTCCCACCCCATGGCTCACCCCACACACAGGTCTGGGATGGAAAGAGCAGTCCGGGCAGGCACCACTCACAGTTTCCACTGCGCCAGCCGCTCCCCACCCCCGAGGCCTGCGGAAGGGCTCCCTGAGCCTCCTGAGTCACTGTCTGCTTCCCCAGCAGGGCATCAGCTGAGCCCAGTCAGCAGCCAGGGCCCAGAAAGCACATGGAAAATAGACCTCAGAATGGGCCCCCGCCCAGGAGGAAGGGCCAGGCACCAGGAAAGACCCAGAATGATTACAGATCTCTTGGAGGAGGGTGGGAGGGTCCTGCAGCCCTTCCATCCCTGGCTCCACGAGCCTGAGGCAGGACACTGGGTGCTCACTCTGCCCTCCCGAATAGTCTGCCTCTGAACCCCAGACTCACTTCCCCCAAATGGCCAGGAAGCAATGCAGGCTACCACTTGTGGAGCAAAGGGGTAATATTACAGCAAAGTTGGGCTATCAGGCCCCTTCTCATGCCACTCCTGATTGAGCTTCCCACCTGGGACCCCACAGTTCATCATAGGAGAATGAAATCGCGCTTGCCTCCTCCATTACTTTGCTAAATCATTCTCAGTGCCTTTCCATCCCATCAAGAACGAGCTTCCAACTACGTAGTCTGGACTGCAGGCAGCTTCTCTGGCTACCAGTTTCTGAAGGTGCATGGGCGGGATCACAGAGGTCTCTAGGGATGGTGACTGACATCGGTGAGCCTGGTGGCAGCAATGTTTTCTGGGTTCCACCAATCGCCATATGGCTCATGACTCATGACTCACATTCAGGGACTTCTAACCTCTGGGGGAAGTCCTCCAAGATAATTTGGAGAGGGAGCCCAGCCGGCCTTCTGCAAAGAGCAATAGATGGAAGGAAACCGTAGCCTACAGCTAACACCCTCCTGGAGTCTGCCGGGCGCGCTGCCCGGTCTAGGCAGCAGCAGCTTTGAGTGATGCTTCTCGATAATTTCCCATGTAAATTCATGCAAGTTCCTAAGCCTTTTTTGCCTCTGGTTTCCTCATTGGTTGCACATGGATGACAGCGTCAACCACATCTATTTCACTAGATAAGTGGACCCTATATTACCCTCTAGTGCCTGGGTCCCTGGATATGCCACCTTGAAGACCCCCAGCTCAGCTGAGCCTACCTTGGCTGACCACACGGATGTGCTGGGGCCCTTGCCAGAATGTTTGTCCACTGAGCATGGTGACAAATCAGACCCTCTCTGGGACTGAAAGATCACCATGGCCTCGAGGGCCCATTGGGGCACCTGGCTATGACTGGTCTTTCATGACAGGCCTGGCAGTGAGGCCCTTGCCAGCTCTGGGCCCCCAGTGCTGACTGGAAAGCCAGGCTGCACCTCAGAGACATGCTGAGCCCTCCCAGGGCTGGTCAGTGACAGTGGGGAACCAAAGGGACAGTGTGGCTGCCAGCACCCTTTCTCTTTCCACCCCGCCAACCATGCTCCTTCAACCCAAGGCCTCAGTGCCCCCTCTCCTGCCTGCCTCCTGCCTGTGGTCCGAGTGTTCTTCCTCACCTGCTCCATGTCTGTTTCATCTGGAGTCCTGGCCTTCCACCCTCATAGGAGGAGTTGCGCCAGAGGGCGACAAACTCATGCCCATTTCTAACATCCTGGTTCTCTTTGGCAGAAACAAGACTACTGTCCGGTCCACCCTGTGCCCATCCTGTGCCGAGCTCCGTGCTACGGATCCAGCAACAGCAAGAGAAATCGTACAGGGTCTCAACCCCCTCGAGCGCACAGGTCAGGGGAAAGAGACAGAACCGGTGACGGTGCCACAGACGAGAGCATTCCTGGGTGACATGGGAGCACAGAAGAGGGACAGCCAGTCCAGCCAGATGACAGCAGCGTCAAGAAAGGATTCCAGGAGGTGAGGCTTCAGCTGCCTCTTCAAAAACAAGCAGGAGGTGGCCAGGCCAATGAGGGCCAGAGCAGGAAGGGTGTGCCTGGAAGAGGAAGTAGCGTGTGCACAAGCATGGAGGCTTGAAATAACACTACCCGTCTGGGGAACTTGCATTGTCCAGGATATTTGAAGGTGGGATAGAGCCAAGCACGGAAGGAGTGGCGTCTGGGAAGGAGGCAGGGCCAGGCCACGCAGGGCCCTGGATGCCAAGCTGTGGCGTGCAGGCTACATCTTGAGGGTGATGGGAAGCTACTGAGGGGGCTGGGATTTCCCAGGCCAGGGGCCTTTGGACACCATCCAGGCCAGGTAAAGACCCAGGGCTCTCCCCTGTGGATTTTGGCAGGAAGCCCATACAGCCCCCTGGCTGAAGAGCAGGGCCAGTTCCCTGTGCCTTTTCCATCCTGCCAGCCACTCCCTGGCACGTGGCAGCATCACGGAGGACCCTACGTGTTTTTTTTTTGTTTGTTTTTTTTAGGGGAAAGGGGCACGGCTTCGGGATTCGGGCAAAGGTGGTTTCATTCCTTAAATCTGTTTGCTTATCTGAAAAGCAGAGAGTTTATTGCCTTCTCACAGAACTACTGACAGGTTAGTGAGATGATGCATATAACAGGTCTTCGATTATTCCCAGCATCCAGCGGGCACTTAAAAATGACAGCCAGTATGTTTCCGATTTTCGGATGAGGAAGAAGAGTTGGAGGGTCTGAGGCAGCCCATGCTGCTCTGTTAGGGGAGCAGAGTGGGGTCGGGGGCTGGCACCAAGTCCCTCCGGGTGGTGGGGGTTCCAGGTAGATTCACCCGGAAGGTAGAGAATTGGATGCCAGCCCTCTCCTCCAGCCCTCTCCTGCCCTCCTCCCTACTGTGCATACCAGGGTCTAGATGAAAATGAAGACACCTAGGGCCCTCCCCTTGCCTGGGGTGAGTTAGGGTATCTCTGGGGTGGGTGGGGTTCAGGGGATGGCTGCTGGGGCCTTCCCATGTGCTTCCTCAGGAGAGACAGGGAGACCAGCAGGTGTCCACACTGGCAGCCCCGCCAGGTCCCAGGATTCCAGCCCTGCCCTCCTCCCGGGGCTGGCCTGACTTCCCTCCTAACTCTGACACCAAAGATAGCAGGAAAGTCATGATTCCTGGGGGCAGGGAGTCCTCAACTGGGTGGTATGAGGCTTGGCATTGGGACTTCCTGCCTGGACTCCAGGGAAATGGAGGGACGAGCTCCCAGTCAAACCGTGAGCTGGGCACAGCGCACTTGGAGCCTGGCCTCCTCCTCGCCTGCTGTTCTTTCCATCCACCTTGTCCCATCCACCTTGTTCTGAAAAAAAGGCCAAGGGGCCATAGTTCCAAAGGGCCTGGGTACATGGGTCCGATTAAGGTCTAGCTAGGCCGAGGCCAGGCTGCCGGGTGACACTAACGCACACAAGGGCGGCTGACATGGTCCTCTGGCGTGTAGAACCCATCGGTTTCACTTCTCTTCTCACGAGCCTTTCCTCATGTATCAAGAGGTGCCAGAAAGGGAGCAGGGGACAAAATACATACAGTTCGGCCTTGCCTACCTAGCCCTAGGGTGGCTATGAGGGAAGGGATGGCAGCCAGCAGGTCAAGGACCAAAGGCCATGCTGGGCAAGGCCCCCAGACTGTTCCAGGTGGGGCTGGCTGCCTGTGACCCTCTAAGTCTTTGTTAGCAAAAGTGGAACTTCTTCGAGTCCCACCTGCCCCACCCCATACTGGTTACTGAATAACCAAGTCAGATAGAGGTGGACTGTCTCTTAACTACTAGCTGACAGTCCAACTTATTTTTTCGAAGGCGCTCGATACTGGCTTTATCGACCTTTGCACTAGAAATGCTTCTGGAGTAGGAACAAGGAACAGTGTGTCCCAAAGCAACAGCAGAATAAAGACAAACAAACAAATAAAAACCCCAAAGGACCTACCACCACCACTACAGCAACAGAAAACCAAGAAGAAACAGCGCGGCAGAGGGACACTGACCTCAGGAGATGGTAGAAACAGGCCCCCTTTCCCTGGTGACTACCTTCTCACCCCCCAGTCCCGGCTGGCTGTGGCTGCAGGTGACCTTGGCACTTGCCCTGAGGCAATGGACTTGGTGGCCTGTTCTTGGATTTGCCTGTTCTGAGACTCGGCAGATCTGGAAAGGATAGAGGGCTGAGCACGGTACCTACCAGGCCAGGCCGATGGTGACCGTCCCCCACCCTCCCGCCCCTGCCAAGTCCTCCATTGCCACTGGGAGATACCCTGTGGGGAGAGGCCGGCCGGGAACAGATCCACAGGGCAGAACCCTGAGCCAGGCCTTCAGTGCGCACGAGGGGAAGGCCGCGTCCGGGAGGGCGCTGAGAACGGCAGGCACAAAGCTCTCTGGGGTGAGAGCCAGCCCAGGGAGCCCTCTCCTGTTGCCCTTCCTCCAGCTGGGACGCAGGGCTCGGC